TTGTGATCACCATGTGGGGATGGTGCTGGGGACTGTCAGTGGGAGAGCTGTTCAGACTGGGCTCAACAGCATGGTCTGCCGTCTGCTGGGCAGTCAGCCCCTCCTCTTCCTTTGACTGCTTTCATAGATCAGAATCCAGACTCATCTCTTCCTTCCCTCCATTGGCATTTTGAGTAAATTCAGTAATAAGAAATTAACCCTTGCATGAATTATCTTTCCGAAGCCTTCAATAGAAATGGGCCCCTGTTGTGACTATCAGAGGATACCAACTGTGATGCAGACCAGATGGTCAGTCATTGAAGGAGCATTTTAAAACACAAGCGCCTGGTCTCTGGCTCACAGCAGTTAAATCGGAATCTCCTGGGGTTGGGTCTAAGCTTTGTAGTGTTTGTTTGTTTGTTTAAAATTTTATGTATTTTTAATTGAAGGATAATTGCTTTACAATACTGTGTTGGTTTCTGCCATACATCAGCATGAATCAGTCACAGGTCCACATATGTCCCCTCTCTTCTTGAACCTCCCTGTCTCCTCCCAACCTATCCGACCCCTCTAGATTGTCACAGAGCACTGGTTTGAGCTCCCTGAGTCAGACGGCAAATTCCCACTGGCTGGCTGTTTTACTTCGGTAGTGTATGTGTTTCCACGTTACCCTCCCCGTTTGGCCCACCCTCTCCTTCCCCCTCTGTCCACAAGTCTGTTCCGTCTGCATCTCCATTGCTGCCCTGTAAATAGGTTCGTCAGTACCATCTTTCTTGATTCCATATATGCGTTAATATACAGTATTTGTTTCTCTCTTTCTAACTTACTTCACTCTTTGTAATAGGCTCTAGGGTCATCCATCTCACTGGAACTAACTCAAATGCATTCTAAGCATTGTTGTTGTAAAAGCTTTCCAAGTGATTTTAATACGTAGCAGTGTTGTTAACCATTACTCTTTAAGTCCAGGGATTAAGTCCAGGCCTCAGGGATGTTTGAAATAATCTGGAATCATCCACACCTGACCAACAGTTTGTCTCTCAGTCTAAATTTATTTAAGTGTCCAGCCATGAAAATAATTTCATCTGAAAGTGTTGAGGCATATCATATGGAGTGTAGCTATTGAATAATGATACTCATCCTTAAAGAATCATGCTGAATCTTAGTCTTCTGTGGTTCAGTCTGTCAAAATGGGTCACCTTAGGAGATTGGGCACATGTTTCTAGATTGTTTTCAGTGTTTAAAACTGATTTAATAATTATTAATAATTAATTATTAATAATTATTATTGCGGATTTAGGAGTTACATAAAAAAATCCACTCAGGCACACCTGATTTTTGTAGCAAATTCTAGTACCTTCTTGATGAATTCAACTCGTCTCTGATTGGCTTGTAACTCCCAAAGGATTGTGATTTGCCATCACGTAGATGCTTCCTGCACCCCCCCACCCCCACCAAGTTCCCAAATGTTTTAAATAGTGATATTTCTGTGTAATATTACCAGGGGTGTCTGCTTTGAAGAGGATAGTATTTGTTTAAATATATCCGTCTCGTTATTTTTTTCCTTTGGTCTCTATTTATTATAGCTCCTATAAAAAAAGTTCTGTTCAGAGGCCTGATTCTGACCTACAGCATATCACTGAGCCCAGCCCTTTCCACAAGTCCGTCTCCGCTTTGTCACTCTCCAGCATGCCTCCCCTCACCCGCACCTTCCTTTCACTGTTCGTGTTGTTAGCACGTCACCTGTTAGCACTTCACTAGCTGATGAGAACATGTCTGTACTTCTCATGGACCTAGCAGATTTAAGGTCTGTTACACTGAACAGGGAAGGCTGGCGTGCTGCAGTCCATGGGGCCGCAAAGAGTTGGACACGACTGAGTGTCTGAACTGAACTGAACTGAACATTGATCAGTTCTGATCTTCTAAAGGACTCTGTTGACCATCCTGAGTGGCACCCTCCTTATCCCTACACACTGCACTAAGTGGGCCAAGACCATATTTAGAAATGCTTTCTTTGACTGGTCAGACCCAAATAAGACCAGTATTTTGACTTGGGCTTTTCTTTTCTGGTTAAATATTCTAAAATGGTACTGTTATCAATCCTTTCTATATAAAAACATCGTTGGTATCTTTGTTTAAATAGTTAATCAACTTCAGATAAATACTAAAACATTTCATAGTAAGTTTATTTGCTGCCATATTCACAGTTGGGCTCAGTCGGGGCAGCTTTGTTCAGGTTTGGATACATAAGTATGATTTCTTCATCAAAACTTTTCTTTTTTAGTCTGTGCCATCCAGGACCTTGCCCACCCTGCCCTGCCTTTATGACTAAAACCTGTGAATGTGGACGGACCAGGTAAAGTTAGACTTGTACTCCAAAGGAAAACTTCAGTTTCCACATTGATGGTTTATATATGAATTTCTAAAATGAAAGATTAGTAGGTAGGCGCAAAGAGTATTTATTTACTATCATTAATGGTAGGTGTAAATAGTACTTTTCTGCAAATAGTAAATCCTGTGCTGCCTTAATCCTGTTTTGCAATCTTTTAAGTGATTAAAAAGTTACAAAAAGTGAGATTGCTGTTTTAGGTGAAATACTATGGGACTTTTTTCTTAACATCTCCAGTGGGTGAAAGAACCAGGAGTTGAACCGCGGCCTGCTAAGGTTCAGGAGGCAAGGATCATTTATCTGTGCCTAGCGTAGTATCTGGTGTCTAGGAGGTTTTCATTGAATATTGTTGAAAGAAAGAGTAAGTGGCCCCCAGAGCCCACCCTCTTTTCATTACAGTGCAAGTTATGCTTTATCAGTACAGGGACCATTGATAGCTGCATAGCTGTGGAGTGCTTCTGAGGTCCAGTGAAGACCACACAGTGATTGCTGAACCACAAGACGAGATGAAATAGTGCAGATTTTTCAATGATAAACGTTTTTTAGATGTTTACTGAACTTACAACAGTAGCAGTGTAGCCTGAGAGTCACATGCAAGGCTTTCTGGTCAGAAAGCCCAGGTCAGATTTGGGCTCTGCCACTAACTAGCTGTTAACCTGGGCAAGTTGCTTTCTCCTGCTGAGCCTCATTTTTCTTATCTTCTTATGGTAGAAATAATAATGTCTTCCTCAAGGGGTTGATATTGTCTGTGATGCTGAGCACTAGAAACTGATCATCTATATATGTATCAGTGATTTTTTAAAACAAAATACATAGCTGAAGTGAGAATAGTGGAATAGAATAGAACTTTTTGTGAGAGAGTAGATTCCAAGCTCTAAACCATTACCCTGAAAAGAAACCTGAAGACAGTTGTGTAAGAGCAGTGGCCTCATATCCTTCTCTGGCTAATAAGTCAGCAAAATCAGGATGTTTATTAGAACAAAGCCAGAATTATTTCCCTTCCTGAATCAAAGTCACATACAGTATGTTCTTAAGTATAATATTATAACTGCCGAAAATGCCAGAGTGCAGGGTCCCAGGAGAATGCCATTGTGCTTTCATTCCAGGAATATTTGTTAGAACTACATCTTCCAACTTCCCCACCCAGATCTGTAAGATACTGTGGGAGCTTCAGGCTCTTTACCCTCCTGCATGCTGCTTCAACTCAGAGGAGAAATCACAGTATAACAAATACTTAGGCCCTCAATTCCTCTCTGGCCAGAAAATAGGGGACAGAGAAGCAAAGGAGTGAAAAAGAAAAGTGGAGAAAGGAGGAGTAATTGAGGGAGTGACTGGAGGAGGGAAACACAGAGGAAGTAGGGGAAATGGGGCCCAGAGAGGTTTAGTAGGTTTTAGGGAAGGTTAGTTTAGCTGTCGAGTAGGACCTCAGTGTCCAACATTAGGCTAATGCGGTCTTTCTGTTTTCTCTTTTTGTAGGCACACAGTTCGCTGCGGTCAGGCTGTCTCAGTTCACTGTTCTAACCCTTGTGACAGTATTTTGAATTGTGGTCAGCACCACTGTGCTGAGCTGTGCCATGGGGGTCCCTGCCAACCTTGTCGGGTCATATTGAACCAGGGTAAGTGGTGAGCCCAGCAGCCAGCCATACTTGGGGGCTTTTTTGGAACCTTATTTACAGTTGTATTGATGACATGGTTTTGTCTCAAGCCTATAGTCACAAAGACTCTATTAGGTCCGTTATCTTGGGTAGAAAGAACTAGAGATATATGAATGATTGGATGATTTTCATTATTTTGGTCACATAATACCAGTATAGGTCATTGTCCTATAGAATTTGGACAGTAGATGTTTTTTAATGCTGTTTAAAAGAAACTGCTTAGGAAATCTTTTTTCAGTGACTACTTGAAAAGGGCGCAGAAAAAGCCAAAGCAATCTTTGAAAGAGAACAAATTTGAAAGACCTCATTTTAAGGCTTATAAAGTAATAGTAATCATGACATTGTGGTTATTGGTATAAAGGTAGTAGATTCTGACAATAGAGTCCAGAAATAGATCTCAGTATATTACAGTCAGTTGATATCAGCCAAGATATTAAGTTAATTCAGTGGGAAAAGGAGTCTTTTTACAAATGGTCCTAGAACAACTGGATGTATATATGGGAAAAAAGTGACCCTCAACCCCTGTCTCACTCTTTACACAAACATTAATTCTATATGGATCTTGGACTTGAATGTAAAACCCAGGAACAGTTTCCAGAAGAAACTATAAAAGAATATTTCCATGACTTTGGGATCAGGCAAAGATTTCATAGAGCAACAAAAAATGTTAAATTGAACTTTTATCACATTAAGAAATTTCTGTTCAACAAAAGACAACATTAAGAAAATGAATAGATAAATCACAGATTGTATGCAGAATATTTAAAGTACTCCTTCCAAAAAAAAACAGAAAGATAGTCTCCTACAAATCAACTTGAAGAGGCACTGCACAAAAGAAAATAATTATAAATGCTCAATAAACACATAGAAGATGCTTGACACCTTTAAACACTAGGAAACTGTAAATTAAAGGCACAGTAAGAGTAGAATAGTATAACCACTTTTAAAACAGTCTAAGGAATCTCCCTGGTGGCCTAGTGGTTAGGATTCTGCGCTTTCACTGTCGTGGCCCAGGTTTAGTCCCTAGTCAGGGAACCTAGGTCTCACAAGCTGTGTGGTGCAGCCAAAAGGAGAAAGAAAATAGTATAGTAGTTCCTTTAAAGGTGAAACATAGAGTTGTCATGTGACTGCAATTCTACCCTTCGGCATATACCCAAGAGAAATGAAAATATATGTCTATACAAAACTTCTAAACCGATGTTCATAGCAGCATTATTCATAATAGTCAAAATGTGGCAATAATGCAAATACCTGTCAGCTGATAAATGGAATAACATGATATATCCATAAAAAGATGTATTATTCAGCCATGGAAAGGAATGAAATATTGATACATGCTATGAAGTGGATGAGCCTCCAAAATATACTAAGTGCGTCACAGCCCAGCCAGCGGGAGCCGGGTTTGGAGAGTCCAGGGCACTCGGAGAATCCGGGTAGCCCTGGCTGGAGCCATGTCCCGGAACCTGCGCACTGCTCTCATTTCCGGCGGCTTCCTCTCCCTAATTGGCGTCACCTTCTACCCCATCTACTTCCGGTCCTTAATGCGGCTGGAGGAGTACAAGAAGGAACAAGCCATTAATCGAGCTGGTATTGTTCAAGAAGACGTGCAGCCACCAGGGTTGAAAGTGTGGTCGGTTCCATTTGGCCGGAAATGAGAAGACTAACACCACCTCTAATGATGCAAGTAGACAGAGGCTTCATGCTTCCAGTTCTGCAGCAAGTGCAGTAAGTCACCTGGCTGGAGAACAGTGGCTGAGCAGAAAACTCTAGAAGGCCATAAAGAGTCCTGTGCATGAGGATTACGTCCCTTCTTAAAAGAACCCTGGAACAAATCATACTGTCAGGAGGGTTTTCATGATTTGGTTTCCTTTCTAAAAATGAAGCTGTCTCACTCAGCTGGGCTTGAAGGCTATCTACATATTATTCAGTCTCTACCTCTTAGCCTGCCATGCTGTGATATGAATACAGGCAACCAGTAGACTGGGGAAGGTCCTAGACTGTTTTGCCATCCTCCAAATAAGAAATTTCAGGGGAAAACTACCATATTGAGCAGCCTCATAGGGCTCTTTGAAGGTATTAAAGTTGATAAAACTCTTTGAGGACAAGGTACATTGTACTCTTTAAGAATAAATAGTTCAACTCAACTATCTCGTTAGGAAGGTTGCTGCATATTGAGAAATAAATTTGAAGCAAACTAAATGGGTCTGCATGCTTATTAGAAACTATTGTTGAATTGACTGAAGTGAAAATATATGTATTAAAATGATTTCTCTTACTTCAAAAAAAAAAAACACCAAAATACTAAGTGAAAGAAGTGAGTCTCAAAAGACCACTTATTGTATGCTTTCTCTGTTTTTATGGCTGTCTAATCTGCAGAGATCCTGGGCTACAATGCATTGGTCCTATAGTTTTAGTTTATTAAATTTTACTTTTATGTGATGCTGTTGATCTGTGTTGGCACTTAAAATAAGAAATAGCCCTGTGAAATGTTTTGTGGTGTGTACTATAAGGATTTTACATAGGGAGTTGTGCTGTATATTATTTAGTAGTTTGTTTATGGGTCCTCTGGGAAGAAAGTCCTGTTTGATCTTAGTTCCAAGAATAGTTGTTTTTCCTCAAAGATAATATCTTAGGAAGCTCATATAACTGACCTAATGTCCATCGTTATAATGTGTACTTTTTAGCTATGATTCATTCTGTATCCTTACCATTATTTTCCTTTTTATTTTCACATCTTTTATGTTCTCTTCACTTATCTCATATATCCTTATATACTGGATTAAACCCATTTTGAGATAAGGCAGGAGTAAATATATACTGGCAGTTTGGTCTTGGCAGTATAGATTGTCTTTGATCTGGACCTTTTTTACCTCTTGATTCATATTGGACTAAATGACACTTTTTTGTCAGATTTGTATGGATCCCAGTCTCTTCCTTTCTGTTTTTGTGTGTGTAGCTGATTTTTTTAAACCCAGTTGAAGACTTTTTGTTTGTCCATATTCTATATCTAGCAAAGTATTTAGGCCATCAGTGTAGTATCAACTTATGTTCCCACCAGCAGTGTAGATGGGCTCCATTTTCTCCACACCCTCTCCAGCATTTATTTGTAGACTTTTTGTCTCAAGGTGTTTTTTATTTTCTGTTTTGTTGAGGTTTGTCTTGTTCCCTAGTATTGGCATCAGTCCTAGAGAATGTTCATGTGTGCTTGAAAAGACTTGTCAATTTTCTGACCCTTGATTCTTTGGTTCATAGCTATCTTATACCTCTGGAAAAGAAGAAGTCTGTTCTATTTGAGTAAACACTTAGCAAAAAAAGAAAGCCTGCTTGCACAGCCTCCCTGTTGCTAGGGTTTTGTTTACCAATTTGTTGATTCTGCCAATCTTGCATATCCTGCACCTATAATTCATCTAATAAGTAAATCTTTATTTAATGAGTTTTAGAACAGGGGATGAAACTGCCCATGTATTTACTGGGAGAGTAAATGTATATTTTAAAAATCAAGCATCTTGGTTAATATCTTTACTGACAAAAAGTTTTCATTATAAACTGAAAATGTAAAGTGGCCCTTATCAGAAAAATTATCTAAATTGATGAAAATTAGTCCTCCTCAGACTTTGTTACATATTAGTCAGAAACCAACTCTTTTCTTGTTTGCTTTGAAAATAACTCCTTAAATGCAGCACTTAAAGCAACCTATTATTTCTTCAACCCACAGAAAAATTTATAGGTATTAGACTGAGTTCTCTATATAGTCAGTAAAAGTCTCAAGTTCTTTGAAACACTTTTTACTCAGTATCAGGACTCAGACATGATTACTTCAAATTTAACAATAGTAGAATACAGATTAACAAGGATTTTATATTGTATCTATCTTAAAATTTCTTTTTAGCAGCAGACACTTTTCCTAAGCACTTTATGTGAACCCCAAGATAGGAAGTATTAAATCTGTGCTGTTTGGTTGAAATGAGGGTGGAATCCAGTCATCAGTGCCTCCATAATTACCCCATTTAGGTTCAGTCTTCTGTGACATCGCCACAGGACCCCAGGGAGCGTCATGATGCATGGTTTCCAACCATGGCCTTGTGGACCAGAGACTGGTCTGTTTCACTTTAATGCTACAGGGGTGTGCTACAGGGGTACCATGAGATGTGTTAAAATTAACAAAAGCTTCTAAATTTTTTTCCTGTGGTAGAGCTATTAGGTGGGGCTTAGAGCTGCTATATAAGCCACATTTGTTTCTGCGCCAGGTCTGATCAACAGTAGTGAATAGGATTTTGTGTCTTCTTATAGATTGCTTAGAGTAATATTTTAAGCTCTTGTGCAGATTACTAATCTTTCATTTTTGAAATTCTGTCCTCAAGTATGCTACTGTGGCAGCACCTCCCGAGATGTGTTATGTGGAACAGACATGGGGAAGTCTGATGGATTTGGGGACTTTGGCTGTTTAAAGATGTGTGGCAAGTAAGGTTTTATGTTTTTCTCAGTTAGAACAAAGCTGTATTTAAGGCAACAATCAATGTAATAGTGCGTTGTTCTCCTTAACAGGGACTTGAAATGTGGGAACCACACGTGTTCTCAGGTGTGCCACCCTCAGCCCTGCCCGCCGTGCCCACGGCTTCCCCCGCTTGTGCGCTATTGCCCTTGTGGGCAAACTCCTCTCAGCCAGTTGCTGGAACTTGGAAGCAGTGGTCGGAAGACATGCATGGATCCTGTGCCTTCATGTGGAAAAGTGTGCGGCAAGCCTCTGCCTTGTGGTTCCCTAGGTAACTCGTGGGCGGAAAGTTGTCTTTAAAAATGTAAATTTAAATATTTGGCGGCAGTGACTACTTCAGCAAAATAGTATTTAATTCCAGTTACAGTATCAGATGTTTTTCTAAATATTATGATCAGATTTGTGTGGTTACTTTTTCTTTCCTTTTCAAAATATAATTGTGAAAGCTCACATTTGCCCAAATGATCTTTCTATTAGTAATTCAGGTATTACCAACTCACGACAGTTGTGGTTAGATATTGTTTTGTGGTTGGGGTGGGGGGTGGTTGGGGTGTTTATGATTTCTCTTAGCAGCCTATACTAGTATGAATGCCAGGTATCCTTTTAGTAATTTAGGGTTCGGCAAGTGTTTAGAAGCATTTTCATATAATAGAAACATTTTAACTGGGTGAGACGTTTTAAGAACTGAGATTTTAAGTGCACTTAAATTTTATTCATTTGAGCCACTCAGGAAACATCTTTCTCTTCAGATAGGTTTCCCATCTAACTGAGAATAACACCTCCTGAAAATCATTTTGAAGGGACGTTTTTCTAAAATTTACATTACCTTCCTTCTTTGAATAGAGGTTACCAAAGATGATTTCTTTGCCCTTATTTGACTGAGAGTCATCACTTCCCTGAACCTCAGTTATTGTCTTCTACTGAATACACTGATTCCCTCTGGGCGTGCTGAGGTTTCTCAGGTATTTCCCCACTGCACTGTACAGTGTGACTGTTTTACTTGTTAAACCTTTTGGTGGTGTTTTCTTGTGAATGCTTTCAGTGTCCTGTCTGCCTCCCTTTAGTGACTCTCGTTTTCTTCTGACTCTCAGGCTTCTGATTACTTGGATATAGAAACCAGAAAAGGTTTGTTGAGATTAGCTATAAAGCAGTAGTCTGAGCTTCTGACTGATGCTTTCTGAGGCAGTCCTTGGGGTATGTGCACATACAGTTTTACAGTGAGTTGGCAGCTTCTCTCCCGAGTCCTCAAATTTACATTACCTGCGTACATTAGCTGCATATTTAGAAAAATGAAACTGATCAATTGGGTCTGTATACAAGAGGTGTTCCTATAACTATCTGTGGTAAAGATAGACTCTTTTAAGTTTGGTTTCCATTTTTCCAAGAAGAAAGATTTTACATTTCTTCCAAGTACCAGTAGGCTCACCCTACCTAATTCCTTTTCTCAGTCTGACTTTAAAATTATGTAGAGAGAAGAAATGCCCTTTTCTCTTATTTTAATACATTTCAACCTCGTCAGGAAAGTCGGTTGTCTATTGCTTGTCTCTGTCTACCAGGAAAATGTGTCTTCAGATAAGCCCTGTGAAACAGAGATCAAATGACTTGCAGATCCAGAGAGAGGATAAACATCTTCCCGTTTCAGAAAGCATGTGGGTCAGTTTCATAAGAACTTTGTATATGACTAGATATGCTGCCCTGACTCTCAGATAGCTTGTTGGCATGGAGAGAAAGAGGAAATGTGAAATGGATACTGCAGAGGGTCTTGAGCAAGAGAAGGACAGTAACGGTCAGTATGAACAGACCTGGGGGTGGGACAAGACCAGCTCAGGAGTTTGAAGAGTAACTGTTATACTTCAGTGGAGTTTTAATCGTGGAAAGCTTTTCAGGAGCTAAGGTGAGTTGGATTGAGAAGCTCAAAGAAAAGCCCATTACTAGTGGTAACAGTGGATCTCATGTTTATTCAGACCTGGCTTAGCTATAGAAATCTTGTTTAGGTCCGTTAGTATCTCACCCAGTAGGAAATGTCCATTCTAGTCACATAGCTTTAGTACAAAAGACTAGGTGGTGGTCCGCTTTCAGGATGGTAGCCTGAGGAGCAAAACCGGCAAAGCTGGGGAAAACTGAAACAAAAAAAAGCAACCATTTAAAGTCTCTGGAAACTGTCCTACACACATAACTCCAATGAAGAAATTTTTATTGAAGAAAACCTACTAAAACTAAGTTAAGAACAGCAAGAGTCTGTGTTGTTTGAGTCACAACCTACTCCCTCCTTCCCTGCCCCTTCCCAAATCAGCTCAACTAAAGGATGTGTGTGCCCATGAAATCGGGGCTTCATCTGCCCTCAGTTCCCAGTCAAGGGCTGCTTGCTAGGAGGAGCAGACCATCAGCATTTCTTATCCCTCCAACTCCAAGTTGAAAAGGGTAAACTTCTGGTAAGCACAACTGCCAGGTTTGGGGTTCCCTTCCTCTGGGGTCACATAGATTGGAGGCCCTGTTCCAGTCACAAGAG